GAATTTAATATCACGTGTGTATTTCTTCTGTGCGTAGGGCATAGTTTACAACAGGTTTATAAATGATATTAGTATTATACAAAAATGTTACCTCGGAGGGCGGTAAGCTGTGGCAAACCTTTAGATCGCCGGCTGGACAGTCTTCGGCCAACCCACAATAACATTTGCCAGTATAAATGTATTGAAATCTACGCCCGATCGCAAAAAAATAATATGTGAGGCAGCGTGGAGGAATCAGGCTCTCGTTAATTTTGGGGCATGTAGAGTTATTAGTATAATCTTAAAGTTTGTTCACTTGTCTTTATTTTGGATGAAAAAAATATCCATTTGTCTTGAATACAAGTTGAGATATTTGCGAATGAAGAAGGTGGGGGTCACCTGTTTTCAGAGGTAAAATTTGTGAGAAAATGGTCGCCAATTATTAGCTATTTCCGTAGCTGAAGAGTCCGTGGTAACTGAAAATTTACATTTTTGGTGTCTTTAATCAACGTTTTTTAGAAAAATCCACACAGAAATGAGTTCTTTAATGGGCATGAACGGTGTTGAGCCAAAAAAAGAAAATTTGATACAAATTCACAAACTTACGGAAAAAAACAAGTTTCTTCACTTGGATTATTTTGACGAGAGCCTGATTCCACCACGCTGCCTCACATACATGTATAACATTCGGAATTATCGTGTCAAAGGCAACGAAATGACTCTCGAAAAGCTGTTTTTCTAGCTGGACATTGAGGATCCCAATAGATGTAGTTTGGTTTTGACATCATAATATGTTTTTTCCTATACATTTAAAAGAAGCCGGACATCTGTCAACTTTCCCTGAAGGAGTAACAGCCCCAAAAAACCACTCCTACTTGCTTTTAAGCGCGGAAAAGTCTCTTGTACGTATTGAGATCAAGTATAAAGTTTGTTCAAAACGTTTCTGAGTATTAGAATAATCATCATTAAGGGCTGGTGGGGCACCTACAAACAATGTTTTGCGGTCAAATTTTCAAATTGGGTTTATTACATATTATAGTACCTGGACATTTCCTGAACAATATTCAGAAACGTGCCTTTCAACATCCTAAATATGTGTTTTTTTTGTCAGGTTTTTCTGCAAAAGCACATCTTTTCTAGCCTTTTCTTACCTGTATCGGTTTTTTTTTCACAATTCTATTTTTTTCACAACTTATCCCATTTTCCTTTTTCTGCGTTGTTTCTTTTTTCAATTTCAATGCAACTTTTACAGGATACCAAAATTTTTGGTTATTCTAGTAGTTTTTGATTTATGGGCTTAGAAAGCTTGAATTTTCCATCTTTTTCACTTTTTTCCTACACCCCAATTGTAAGTGTCATAAAACAAAAACTAAAGCATATGTAGAAAAATTTAAAAAGCCAAATTTAAAAGCTACCTATTTATTGTTTGCATGCCAAATTAGAAGTGAATCGGTTAGTAAATAATGGAATAAAATGGGATTGAAAAGGTATACAACATCCAATATGGCCACCGTTTCCATAGCAACTGATTCACAATATACTTTTTGAACTATTGAATTAAAATCCCCGATAACACACGATGTCCCACAGCAAATATGGGCAGTCCATATCTCCTTGTAATAGCCAAAATAGACTTCAGGTGCCCCACCAGCCCAAGTATAAAATTTGCTCAAAATGTTTCTGAGTAATAGAATAATCATTATTATTACTAAATTCAACAGTCACACAATCAATCACATGATCGACAATATTTTATCACAGGTAGTTTTTTACGCTACATCTATTCGATTTTGACAATTCAAGAGGAATTCCCTATAAGATAATCTGGGTTTAGCAAGATTCAACAAACGCCGAGACGTTCAATCATTACACCATGAGGTGTTTGTTGATAGTTATACTTTACTTTACTGTTCATCATTTCTTGACTGGAGCCGTCTTTCCATTGAGAACAAGGAGCGAAACAGAAATCAAACACAGTGAGGGGCGAGATTTTGCGGATAAGGAAAAAGCAATCGACCGAGTTACCCATATGCCTCTTGTTGAAAGTGATGGCTAAATATGGAGTAAAAGGCAAGCTCCTCCAAACAGTATGGATCGATTTGAGAATAGTTTTTGCGTCGTAAGACTATCAAAGGGACTCACTGACACTGACATGTTCCTTGTATTGTCAGGCGTTCGACAAGGATGTGTGCTATCTCTGCTACTTTTTATTGTGTAATGTATGGATAGAGTAATCACAGAGGCAGATACATGTAGTGATAACATCGGCTAAAATGAACTTCTGTCTGTCGAGCGTGTTAATTGCAAACCCTGACAGTGGCAAGAACATACAAAACCCGAATGCAAAAAAAATAAAATAAAGAACACTCGATGAGAGTCAGCATTGCTGAAGTAGAAGTAATGAAAGACTGTAGAGACCCATGCCAATTAAACATCATCAACGGTACACAGCTCAAACAAGCAGAGGGGAAATATTTACAAAATATGAAAAAATAACAGAAAAATTGAAAAGAGGACCCAAAAAGCAAATGCAGCAATATAAGTGAAAAGGCAGCTTGCCAACAGCATAGATTTATTATTATTCCTTCCGCAACTGACTTACTAATGTCAGACGTGGCAGCTAAATGCAACACAGTATAGGAGAACAATTGCTTTTAAGATAAAATGTCTCTACAGCAATTAAAGCAATAATGTACGACTGCACAAGGAACGAAACAGCCCGTAAATAAACAGAGCATGGAACTCACTGAACATAAAAGACTGAAATATTTCGGCCACCCAAAGCCCCATAATCAACTATTAGCTAGCTACACGAGCATACAAAGCTCGAGAATCCAGCAACAAAGACAGAAGTAAAGCATTACAAAAAAACACTAGGCTGGATCGAATCGAAGAGGGCCCCCAACGGAAGCTATCTACCGAGTAACTGATCCTCAATCTCTAAAGATTCAAGAGGGAAAAAAGACAAGTCAAATGAAAAGTAGAGAAGTACGAGCTAAAAGTAACATTACCGACGTGCGCTGATGGGGAGTACAGTTTCCTATGGTCAGCCAACTCTGAAGCTCTTTCAGTTAAGGTGCTATTTCTCAGGGTTCCCTCGATTCCCTAAATCCAACCTCTCACGTTGTCTAATCTTTCTCTACGGCCTGAGAACTCGGTGTTAGTGTTATAGGCTCATGAAGCTGGTTGACAAGATGACATTCGTAACAGATGGCCGAACCATGATATTCCTTGTTTATCCGCTGTACATGCAAACAGGACACGGTGCGAACAGCTGCTCTTACACCTTCCTCACTCTGCCTGTCACTATTTGTGATGTAGATTTGTTCGGAAACACTTCATTTCGCATTCAGTGATCTTCTTTATATCAGTTGCATATTGTTTATTGTAACGAGGGATATTAAGCGTCATTGTCATAAGAAAATACGCATTCGTTCAGAAACAAGACAAGAGTTTTTTTTACAGAGCCATGTGCGCCAGTCTAGACAGTTGTTGAAGATATGCTTTATATACAAATGCAGCCAACATTACTGCAGCCCAACTCAACTTACTGCAAGGTCACAGGTAAAGGAAAACTTTATATCTCTATTCGAAACCTACATAATTCATCCGCACCTCTGCAGTCTCCACTCTCAGAAAAACCACATCTGTGACGCTGTGACGCCATGGGCGAACGAAGCCTTTAACTTAGTTTTAGAATTGGAGTTCAAAATGTACTTTTACAGAGTCAAAATTGTAAGGCATACTATGTTTTCTCACAGAATTTAGTGCGAAATAATAGAGATAACACAAAACATTATTATACCATTGTTTACGACCATAGTGCCATCAAACACTACCTTTCGTTATCGTACGGTAGAAGAAGGATGAAAATGTTATTTAAGTAGAATTTCAAAGGAAGAGTAAACTACATGCTGGCATTATAAGAAATGTTCAGGTAATGAAATAAGTCTAGTTGGCCATGGCAAAAGCCATAAGTTGTTTTAATCCAAGGTTCTTATATCTTTACTTAAATGTTCTCCTCTGCAGAAGTACTGGTCATCGTCAGACATTGACGAACGAATCAATTTTATAAAGGGGAGATAAATCATGAGACAACTTGAGTCTCACGCCTTCTTGGATTTTTCCTCGTTCTCGTCATTCTGTTTTCCCCTTCAGGTTTAGTCTTCGTCACTGTATATTTTATCCCTTTTCTTGTCCTCTTCCTCCTCCCCCTCAGCCCTTCCTTCCCTCCTTGTATACATAATTCTTCTTTCACTCTTCCTGACTCAAGCGCAAAAGCCTTTACTTTTGTCTTTAGTGTTTGGTGCACATTGACGTGTGTAGAATCTTTCTTGTTTTATTAGTAAACGTTTCATTGCATTTGCAACCTAATAAGGTCAAATCAGTGTCGAAGATTAGACGTGTTACAAGAGAGTAGCAAACACAGAAAGATGAGAAGGAGAGATGAGGACGATAAAAGTTGGATAGAAAAGAAGGAGCAAGCCACACCAGAGTACACCAAAACCACCCACATGTATACATTCTTTCTTAACAATAAATAACGCTCCTCTGTCTCTCTGTCTCTCTTTCTCTCTGTCTCTATGTCTCTCTGTCTCTCTGTCTCTCTGTCTTTCTCTCTCTGTATCTCTCTCCTTTCTCTCTGTCTCTATGTCTCTCTGTCTCTCTCTCTGTCTCTCTCTCTCTGTCTCTCTCTCTCTCTCTCTCTCTCACACACACACACACACACACACACACACACACACACACACTCATACAAACACACACACACAAACACACACACACTCACACACATACATACGAATAAATTATAAATGCACGTTCATACGAACACATTATATACGCAAGTATCCACACGCTCAAACATACAAATACACAAACTCACTCACACACACACACACATATTTTTACAGACGCACGGAGGGGGAGGGACACACACACACACACACACACACACACACACACATGCACGCACAGCCTCTTCATTTAATATTAGGAAAGATAATAACAAGCAAAATGACAGCCACAACTATAAGCGCTGAGGCAGCAGTGAACGCCCCGAACCAGCCAAAGCACGACAAGAGAACCTCTGTGGTGAACGGCAAGCACAAAGTAGCGATAACTCCCCCAACAGAAATCAGGCCAAATATGGTTGTGAGGTGCTCATAGCCGAAAACTTTGTACGCCGCAACTGACACTGTACTGTAGCAGCCAAAGTTACTGGAAGCGAAAGCACACGTCCAGAAAAAATAAAACCACTTGTTTATGTAAGGGGTAAAATACCAAAACGCGATAAAAACTGCTGTGGATGATAGCAAAGCTAGGTAAGAGTTTTTCAACCCGAATTTATCGATTGCCACACCCCATAATAGTTTAGAAATCAAAACAAATATTGCAACTGTTGTCCCAACACTGCTGAGAAAATGGTCGTCTGCTATGACGTTTTGGGCAAACATTTTGTAGTAACAGGCCTGTGTGATAAAGCAGTACTCAGTGGCAGCACTGCAGAAAAACAACAGGTAAAACTGTTTATTTCTTAAAGCTTCAGAAGTGGTAATGTTCAGTGGGTATTTCTCTGTGTTCTGAGCTCTGTCTTTGGGAGGCACAGCCATTTCTGTGTGGTTCTCTAGTGGTGTAGGTGGACTCATTAGTATAGTCTCTTCCTGGGGAGTTTTTGGAACGACTCTCTCTATTCTGCTGGATGTTAGAGGTGTTCTTTTGAAAAATCCTGACACTTTGTGAAATATAGAGTCAAATTTTCTTTGATGGGTTGCGGTATCACAATTATCCTTTCCGTAAGTATAACTGTGACCAGAGCCTCCAAGAGCAAGGTTGGGCAGGACTTGATGTTGTTCTTTGTCCATCTTTAAAACTTCTTTTGTTTTCTTCATTGGTCCGTCATCGTAAACTCTTATTTCTTGACCCGCAACTAGACAATGCCTTTCCTCATCTTTTTCCGCTTCTGCTACGGCTGACTCAGCATCTTTTGCAGCCTGGTCAAAGGCTGTTGGGCTTGGCAAGCGAATCATTGAAAGTCCCAACAGGTGAATCGTGACGAATGCTACTGACAGAACAACAAAGACGTATGGAGTCCTGAAACAATATTTAAAAAAAAAAGATGTAGATTTTTTAAACGGAGATATTTAAAAAAAAACAAATTATCCCCATAATGGAATCAAATTCGTGTCCACTGCGTGCGACGGCAAAATGCCAAATCCGCTATTTCAATTTTAAAAATGAATAGCAGTTATGCTGTGTATTTCAAGTTCTAAAACATGCTCAATGCTCATTACATTCACAGAGAAAATAATATTACAACTTTTTAAAAAATTATTGGACAAATATATACGCACAATATCATGCGTATTTATCATTTGTGTATGAGTGTAAAATATATATAATAAATAAATATAAATGTATAATAATATGTATATTATATATATATATACATATATATATATATATATATATATATATATATATATATATATATATATATATATATATAATATTATGAGAAAACTAGCCATGCCTGACGATGTGTGTACAAAAAAAATGTAGAATACAATAAAAACTCACTGACAGTCAAAATAAAACAAACTTGAATGGCTACAGGTTCGTCCTTAGCTCTCTCTCTCTCTCTCTCTCTCTCACTCTCTCTCTCTCTCTCTCTCTCTCTCTCTCTCTTTCTCTCTCTCTCTCTCTCTCTCTCTCTCTCTCTCCCTCTCTCGCTCTCTCTTTCTCTCTCTTTCTCTCTCTCCCTCTCTCCTTCCTCTCTCCTCCTTCTCTACTCCGTCATTCTCATTCGCTTTTTTCAGTCTCATCATCATTTTGTCCTTTGCCTTTCCTGAAATTAGTGTTTATTTTGTGAATCATCATTATCATCAAGTGCCAGATCTGCGACAGACATTGGCGATGATGGCTCTACATTCATTCTTCTGCCTGGGCCTCAGCTAGTGGTGTACCTTCAATTATTTTGTTCACTCATTACCTCTAGTTGCGGTGACAACTTCAGAATTATGCTCACTTAAAGTGAGCTAACATCTTGTTACCAGGTACTTTGTAATTTTGAAGCTTTCATCTTTAATTTTCAATGGCCAATAGTACAATGGATAAAGTGAACCAAGCTCAAAGTCAACACTTTTTTCGGTCCCGAAGTGTTGACTTTTTCAGAATTCCGCTGTAATTTGTTTTATTTGTAATTAAGGCGCTTTTGACATAGTCTATGAGTCTCAATGGCTTGCTTATTTAAGTGAGAAAGAAGGTATGCAATATTTTTCTTGAATGATTGACTCTGTTATTTTTAGTGAAAGTAGAACTGAATATTATTATACACATGTATCCATCTTTTTCATTAATATTAAGTAAAGCGCATAGATCAATGATTGTTACACGGATTTGCAGGGTATAAATGTCATATTAATATCATCAGCGGAAAATGTAATGTTACGATTCAGGGGGGGGGGGGGCAAATATAACGAAAGTGTAAAAAGGGGGGGGGGCAAAATGTCCCCAAAAAGGTGTAAGTCTATATACGAACAGCCCCTTCTACGATCTAAAGATTGCGCCGATCGGAAATTAGCGCGGAACATGATATGCACAAAATCAGAGCATGACAATGAGGACGTAGAGAAATTTTGCAAATGCCTTGATAAGGCAATTAAATAACTAATATCCCAGGGAGTAAAGCTAGCCATATAGGACTTTAATACGAAGAAAGGAGATAGGCGAACAGAAAATACAGTTGTGCCATGGGGAATGGGTAAGGATAATGAAAGTGGCAAACGATGTATACAGTTGTGCAAGGAAAATAATGTCATGATTTAAATCACCAAGTAGAAAAATCACCCAAGACAACGGTACACTTGGGAAAACCGTAGAGATAGGACTAGAAACCAAATACACTCCACACTCATCCAGAAACGTTAGAAACATGCAATACAATCTTGTAAATCATTGCTAAGAGCGCACTGTGGTAGTGATCATGTACCACTCATGTGTAAAATGCAGATGAGACTGATAAAAACTTTCGAATTCTAAGTACCAAACCAAATTAGAGAAGAAATATATCTTTTAAGGACAAAATAATCAAGAGCGTTTCTCTATAGATAAAATAATAAATTTCAAGCTGTGGAAAATAACACTTATTTGGATTGGCAATGGGGCAAAATGAAAGACAAAATAAAGGCAGCTGTGGAAAAAAATATTCTCCTACAAGTTAAAAAAGCAAATAAAGAAAGGATGAGTCAAGACAGAATAAAACTAACGGAAGAGAGTAGTCAGGTAAAATCTAATGGGGAAAAACGCCTTAAAATGGGAAATAAATTTAGAAAATGCAACGAACCAAAAGAAGCTTAGTTAAAAGATTAGTGTCAACAAATAGAGAGAAACCAAGAGAGGAAGTACATAGTACGTGCATTCCAAAAATCAAATAAGTGGAATAAAAGAATGCTCAAATACAAAGTGCTAATGCACGTTCAAGAGGATGTCTTAATCAGATGGTCAGAATACAAAGAAGAAGTGTTCAAAGATAGTATGGGAGAAAAACAAAAAGAAGCCACAAGGCCAGATAATATCCCAGTTGAAGTGATTGTCATATGAGAAGAACTAAACACTGAAATAACAACAAAGCTCTTAAGTTCAATCTATGACAGCAGTGAGATCTCAGAGGACATGAGGAAGTCAGTTTTTCAAGCTTTACCTAAGACGCCAGAAGCCACCGAGTGTGATATGCCCATAACAGGAGGCCTATGAGTCATTTTACGAAAATTTTGCTTCGAGTACTAATGGGAATAATAGATCGTCTACGGACAGACATGTAATGGGACTCGACTACTGAATCTGCACCCTGGTGACGTTTATAAAGGGCTGCACATGGTGTGTGTTCGACCTGAAGTGGTCATTTTTTATATGAAATTTTTAGTTCCGATTCGCTATAGATCCTCATCGAAAGAAGTTCCACTCTTTCCATGTCGGGCGCAGAACTTACGAAATGTCAGGGGTGGTGAGTTTGTAGAGAGGTAATGTTCCACACAGAAAGTTCTCTGCTTTTTACTAAACTTAATCATGATTTCAGCAGGCAAACGAAATTTGGGAAAAATAGTATCTGCAGACTTCTGTTCTCTTGTTAAAACTGCTGAAGCTTGCAATATGGTGCGATTCTTGCAACTTTTTAGAGTTAGGCCTAATGCGAACTTGTACGGCATTCTACGAAAATAGGGACAAGGTTGAAAATGGGTTGCTTTTTTAATGCGCCATATGGAGCAAAACCATTCAATGGACTTATCCAAAATGAATATCAGACAAATTCCTTTTGGCTTCCAAGTATCATTTTCAAATCTTTAACAAAAAACTTCTGTATGGAGGAAGATATTTACAACACAATTTGTACAGCTTTTTGTGGGGGGGGGGGGGGGGGGTTGCCCCCGTATTTTATATTTTTGAAATAATTAATTTTTTTATTCACTTCCATCTCTATTCTTTTACTCACATAAAGGAACATAGACCTACATTTTCAAAAGTGTAAAAATACACTAATTAAAATTAAAATTAACATATGAAACTGGAGAGCTCACAAGGATGACACAATGACAGGTATCAAACTGAAATTTCACAATTAGTACGAAGTTAACATCCACTACAAGTGTCGAGGAACAGACACCACAACAATCATGATCCAATTCGAATCTTGCCTGATGTGGTACCATTTAAGTGTAGTGGACGATCGTTTAAAACGCCTCTTAAGATTTCGCCGATTGGTAATAGCTTAGATGACACCTATGTGATCTGACTCTTATCTGACTATCCCCCAAAACTTTGATACTCCATGCTGTTGCTCCATCAAATAAAGTTCCTACTTTTATTTCATGAGTTTTACTCCGAAGTATACTATTGTGTTGGAACCTGTTTTAATCAAGCCTGCCCCCTCCCATCTAACTTCTGAAAGGTCTAAAATATTTCGCCTCGTCATTTTCATGTCAGGCTCTACATGTCTAATTTGTCTTTCTTGTGCATTGTTTCCATCTTCCATGTGGCTATGCTAAGTGTTTTAATTCTAGTTTGGCAGCTAGTACTGGATTACGATAGGGCGTTCCCGGACGCCCATGGCGGGCCCCAACGAATGGGGAGTTCAGAACTAGGTTATGAACTACATTAACGCTGATATCTAAGAAATGAACGTGTCTTGCAATAATTAATGCTTGGGAGTTTAAAACAGTGGTTTCCCTTTGCCTACTACCGGTTTGTGTACATTTAGGTATAGTCTACACGTTTGTGTGTGTGTGTGTGTGTGTGACTGTGTGTGTGTGTGTGTGTGTGTGTGTGTGTGTATGTGTTACGTGCACACTTAAATGTGCATACCTAAAAACCAAAAGAATGGAGTACCTGTCTAGTATATTTTCCTGAGAGAAGAAAGAGGTGTGGTCAGTCTCCAGGTCAGGGCTGAGGTTGTCGGGGTTGATGAAACTGGACACGATGTAGTTAATGGCCGTGGCTCCAAAGTTGGTTGTGGTGGAGAAGCCCAGCACAAGGCCCAGGTTTTTCCCCGCCGGCCAAGCTAAGGTGTAGTCCATATCGTTGGCCATGACTATACCTGTGTCAAGGAAGGGGGGGGGGGGGAGGAGTAGGTTTCATATAACTGAGTTTTGTTGATTTTATGTTAGATGCATCAACGATCATTTAATGTGGGGAGAAACAATTAGCAGAGGGTGTAGGGATGGTCGGGGGAGGGGGGGGGGGAGTATAACCTGTTAGTCGTAACTTTAATCAAGTTTTTTTGTGGGAGCATTTCGTGTTGCTGCCCTCAATTTTTAGTCGTCCCTTCGTTACTGGAGAGTGTCCATTGTGCGTTAAGTTGAAACTGAAACGCTCTGATACTGGATTTTGTATAATTCATCGCAATGATACCAGTGTCTGTGGTGTAGAGTAGAGGTCTCCAACTCAAATTACGTAAGGGCCCCTGGGGTTCGAGTGCATTTGAGCCTCGTCTACATCATGCGTTCCACCCACAAGAAATATCCCTTGGTGCCCCTGTTGTTCCTGAATGGCAGTATCGAAGATGCCCGCCTCCTAAATGACCTAAATTGTGTTGATGGAAACATGAAACACCTCCAATTACGATGACAATTACACCAGTGTCTTAGCCATTGCTGCCGTTACAGAGAGATGGTCGAGCGTACAATAAGTTAAAACTAGCATATTTGAACCGTGGCTGGGATTGTGCGCAACAATAATAATGGTAAGGGGAGATAATATGGGAATAAAAGATTTGTATTGTGTAACTCATTGGTTACTACCCCTGGAAGTTTAAAGTGATTATTGAGTAGGCAACATGAATGTGTTGCCTGTTCTTGTTTCGTATTCGTATTATTGGTTATTATTTGTCGTAGTTGATTGTTGTTTACCATTGCATGTTATTATATATTTGGGTTTTTTGTTGTTGTTGTTTATTGCCCTTTGTTATCTGTTGTCGTTGCTGCAGCTGCTGTTGTTTTATTAAGACTAAGACTAAGAATAAGAATCAGAATAAGTATAAGTAGTATTTGTAAAGCACACATCCCCGATCAACAGCAAGCTCATTTTACTTTACACTATTGTATTACGCCAGAGGACCATAGAACACTCAGAAACATTATCGGCTTCCAGTGAAGCATATAGTGCAATCAGTAGAGCGCAGAAATACTAACAAACTGACAAGATCTTTCGCTGTCTACAGCGGGTACCCATGTCCAACTCAGTGAAGGGAGCGGAGAAAAATTTGTGTAAAATGCTTTTCCCAAGGATACAATGTCAGTCCCCTGACAGGATTCGAACCCAAGATTTTATTATTGTGAGTCCGAGAGCCTAACCACTAGACCACTGACTCTACACATACACAGAACTATTTTTTCTGTTATTCTAGTACTTGTGTTACTAGTATATGTGTTACTGACAACAGGTCGGAATGGGGTACCAAGATCGTCAAAGTCGGTTCCACACCTGTAAACCTGAAGAAGAATAAGCTTTGTGTCAACAACAAATCAGAGTTATTTTGGCTGCATCTTGCCCTGCCCACCCCCTCCCCCAGATAAAAAGCAAACAAACCAAAACGGAACAAACAACATCTTTGAATACTGTATGCATTTGTAGTTATTTTACACTCTGGTTGACGAATATCATCTTTGAGTATGGAATTAAAGAAAAAATGTCTATCAGGGTCAACCCTTGCGGAGAGTGGTACAACATCCCAAAAGACAGACACTCAATATTATAGAATAATATCACGTTCGCGCGAAATATTATATTATTTGCATATCATGCAAATATTCTTTAGCAAATTTATACACATTGTACTCTCTCTCTCTCTCTCTCTCTCTCTCTCTCTCTCTCTCTCTCTCTCTCTCTCTTTCTCTCTCTCTCTCTCTCTCTCTCTCTCTGTGTCTCTCTCTCTCTCTTTCTCTCTCTTTCTCTGTGTGTGTATGTATATATATATACATATATATCATAGATGCATTTTTTACGTTATCTTATAAATTTTTTTATAAATATATATGTATATTATATATATATATATATATATATGTATATATATGTATGTATATATAAATTTATATCCCCCCTTCTCTCTCTTTTTTTTTTGGGGGGGGGGGGTGTGGTTTGTTTGTTTTAAAGGCCTTACAAAAGGGTGTGAGAGTAATAAACAATATATTTATACCTACGCCAGTAGTGGGAAAGTAAACAATAAACCAAGTTGAAAAGAAGAAAAAAGGAACAAACAGAAGGGAAGAGTGAGCAAGTAATAGAAAATCGTACTAAAAAAGAGGAAGGAAAAAGGGACAGAGAGAAGAGGAGAGTACCTAAAGTGGGAAGAGTAGACAGGTGATAGGTAAACATAGTGTAACAAAAGAAGAAGAAATAAGGAACTCAGAGCAGAGAAAAGGTACCTAATCCCGTTCCAGACATGACTCCCTGCGTAAACGTCTGTGCCAGAACTGAATGCTGGACCGTCCATAGACCCAGCAGGGTGCCAAGGTCATAGGTCATTATACCGAACAGCATCGTCGGTGGTTTACCGCATTTGGTGCTCACTGGAACCGGATATAGCATGCTTTATTATTATCATTATTATCATTAATATAATTATAATAATAATTATTATTATTATTATTATTATTATTATTATTATTATCATTATTATTATTATTATTATTATTATTATTATTATTATTATTATTATTATTATTATTATCATTATTATTACTATCATCATTATAAATGTATAGATTTTAAAATTTTTTTTTTTTTTTGCTTAGTCGGGGAGGGGGGGGGGGTACACCCCAAAAGTCCCGATTCGGCTGAAAAATATGGATTTTGATTTGTAGGTATATCTAATAAATAATAGTAAATAGCATTTATACTGCGCATTTCCATTTCCTAAAAGATGCTCAATGCGCATTACAACGAAAAAGACATCAAATCTTAAAAATTAGTCGGCAAGTGTGTACGTAAAACAAAGTATTATACATATAATATTATAAATGCAGATGTGTAAAATTTTATATTAGAAAAACAGTCCCGCAGTGAGGTTGAAAATATGTTCACTAAAAATATACAATGCAATAAAAATTCACGAACGGTCTCAATAAAGTTGAAACGTGAGTAACTAGAAACATTTATTAAAACATTAATTCTATACAGATAGAAAAACATTTCCGTTTTCTCTCTCTCTCTCTCACTCTCTCTCTCTCTCTCTCTCTCTCTCTCTCTCTTTCTCTCTCTCTCTCTCTCTCTCTCCCTCTCTCTCTATCTCTCTCTCTTTTTCTCTCTCTCTCATTCTCACACGCTATTTCTTCAGTCTCATAGTCTGGCATACACTTGCATATATATCACAGTACATCATTATGACAGGTATGCTTTTGTGAATAAAAAATGCTTCAGCTGATTTTTGAAAATGGAAATTGTTGGGGCAGATCTTATTTTATATGGGAGTTCGTTCCATACCTGGGGACCAAAGAACAAAAAGGAACGCTCGACGTAAGTTTTGTAATTTTGTTTTGGAGTTTTAAGAATTAGATTATCAGAGACTGATCTAAGGGCTCTAGGTGGATGATATAATTCCAGGAATGTTTTAAGATAAAACGGTGCACTACCATTTATACATTTAAAACAGAGAACGGCAGTTTTGTATTTGATCCTTTCTTTTATTGGCAGCCAGTGTAGTTCTTTCAGAATTGGTGTTACGTGCGCTGATTTCTTTTGTTTCATTATCAGTTTTGCTGCTTGATCTAGCTTCTTCATTCTTTTCTACAACTATTTCATAGCCTAAGAACTCGCTAAAGCCTTATTTCTTTCCATACCGGCATGTGTTTCGCCACCATTTCTTCTTAAAGTAAATCCTGTTATGTTCTTTATCGCTCTTTTTCTCAAAATGTGGTTTTTCTATATACTTTTTGAATAACTTCACCATTATAATGTATTCAATAGTCTTGAAATTTTCACTGAATGAAAAGAAGATGTGGCGATGTCTGGAGTGTGGATTTTCACGGATTTTTTGCAAACTTGAAAACTACCTCTCGAAAAAATTCATTAAAAATCTTTAATAGATCTAATGTTTGTTAACATGTATGCTAAAAAAGCAATATATTTCCTTTAAAAATAGTGCTTTATTCATTACATAAGACATGTCAATAAAATCCAATATGACGCCGAACTCATGATTGCGGATTTTAAGACTCCTTACTAGATCTATGTTTGTTATATGTGTGGAATTTGGCAAACCTGACCAACTAATAAGCGAGATATCCTTCGGATGAAGCTCCCCCCCCCCCCCCCCCCCCCATTCCCTTTAAACATTTTACTTTTATTTAAAATCACATTTCTGTGTGGGTTCAATCGGAAAACGTTGAAGGCACACAATATGTACAATTTTAGTTTCCAAGGACTCTCAAGCTATGGAAGTCACCAAACTTTAGTGGCCATTTTATCGCTAATTATAATTTAAAAACCAGACGACCTCCTTCAATAATCAAAATCTCGACTACTATTCAAGATAGAAGGCTACTATTTTCGTCCAAAGCAAGACAAATGATTAAGCTTTGGGGCGATACAAAAAACTCCATGTCCAATAAATGACGAGCATCTGTCGTGACACAAATGAAGTTTTGTGTTTTATCCGACTTTGGCTGATTTATTAAAAACTTGAATATTTATCAAAAGTATTGATTGGTTGCTTGTCTTCATGGGTTAGAAAATCACTTCCCCTTTTAAATAAAGTTTTTGGGTTGTTGTTTCTGTTGTTATTTTTTCTAAGTGTATTAAGACCCTGGTAACTGCATACGGTCATATGAGCTCGCGGGACACTTTAAACATTTTCACTTGGGTAGGAATTAATTTTGAACTTTGCCAGGGTGGCGTGCGAAGCCCACTCTTATCTTATCGTGCGCAACTTGCACACGGTCCTCCTAGATTTTTCACCTTTTTCCGAGAACGTTAGGTGCTAGTTCTTACCTACCCTAAGATCAAGGGTGTGGCTGAAAGACAGAATTAAGAAGGAACCTAGGAGTAGCAGAAGAAAGGCTGCAGAAAGAGCCAGGAGACCAGAGGAGGG